CGCTTCTCCTTGGTGTGGCAATGACAGTGACATAAAAGATGACAGAGCATTTATCAGTGAATCATTAAAAGATAAAACACAGCACCGAGAATATCACTGGATTCTAAATATAACGCTCTTGAAATGGATGTTCTTCAAACATTTATCACCTGGTTTTTACATGACTTTAATCTCATTTTCATCATAATCCATTAGTGAACAGAGCAGGTTGTCATTCACTCAAATGTAAGGGGTTCAACCTTTGACCTCACTGTAAATGTCCACAGGTCACATCCCCACTCTGAGGCCTGAATCAACATGCAGGTTATTTTGAAAAGTTAGCTAATACATATTTTAAAAAATGATAATATAATATGAATAATAATACATTGTATTTTGGTGGTTTCCACCAGGTTACTCGAGTACTGTATTGCTGCAGCATGGATTTGTGGGTATAATACCAGATTTAAACAAATTTCTTTTTATTGCTATGCATCTAAATTGACAAATGTTCAAAAATTATTAAATAATTATTAATAATTATTTACATGTATTGACAATAATGGTTTATTTTCAGTGGTTACACTGGAGTGTTAAAAAAAATTACTGATGGTGGGTGGTGTTGTTTTTTGGAAATACTTTTTGGTCAGCTGATGGCCTAAACCCCGTGACCTTCGGAGAAACTTATGAACAGCGAGCAGTGATGAATGTGCGTTTCATTAGCACTCGTCTTACTCGCACATTCTCTTACGCACACTGTGGTGAGGTTCACACACTCCTGCTAAGCGATGGGGGGGGGGTATGATTTGAAACTGTGGTGATGAAAAGCTTTTCAGTTAACAAACAAAATGCCACATTAAAGAAGGAAGAGGAAGAAGACGGAGGAGGAAGAGGAGGAGGAGGCGTTTTTATTCAGTTGTCAGTATGAAAGAAACAGCAGGACATACAGTCAGAGTTATCAATAAACACATTATTACATAAAGCTCCATAGAAGACATCAGTTTACAGCACACATCCTCCTCTGCCTACATCAGTGAGTTAAAAACTTTTACTTTGTAACATTGTAATTCAAATATCCTTCAGATTTACCTCCAAATCATGACGCAGACCAGCAGCAGGCCTGTGTCTGTCTGTCCCCATCTGTCTTTATTGACCTGTTTAGAACTGAGTGGTTTGTAAACCTCACTTCACTGTTGGAAAAGTCTTAAGACTTTCTTGATGTCCCTGCTGGCCGCTGACAGAAGTGCAGACATTTAACACAGGATCATTGTGTTAAGTGATCGTGGATCAGCTGCACAGTCAGCGGTACATATGTCAGCAGTCACTTCAACAGTCTGATCAACAGTCAGTCACTGAGTATGCTCAGAATTCACAACTCAATAGTGCTCTGTTTTCTCTCCCTCCCTCTCTCTCTCTCTCTCCCCCTACCCTCTCTTCCTCTCTCGTTCTCTCTGTCTCTCTCACTTTCTCTATGTGAATGACAGTCCAACAATGTCTCATTCATATATAGTAACAGATCTGACTGTGATTGGCTCAGCCTCTGTTTCCTTCTCTTTGTTTTCCTACAGTTTCATGTTTTCTTTTCACCAAATTTAAACTTCTGTTTTTCTTGTTGTCATTCATAATGTCTGCATTGTCAACATTTTGACTTAAAACCATTCTTCTCTGGTGAAACAACTGAAAACTTCACACCTGAAATCACTATGACCACTTAGATACCAACAAGACGTTGGTTGTTGTTTGACTACAGAAAGTTTTCGGTTAAGTTACTCTGGATATAGGTCTAGTTGATGCTGTTGAAGCTAAAGCTAATAATGCTAACAAAGGCACACACTCTCACTCACACACCAGGCACCACATAATCTTATTTAAAAACACACTTTTACTTTTACACTTTCAGAATTCCAACATTCCTGATCTCCCACAGGGGAAACTGTCTGTGTGTATGTGTGTGTGAGTGTGTGTTTAGTTAATGTCATGTGATCTGAGCCCAAAACTGGGTTGAATTTGGAAACCACAGAGGAGAGTGAACAGAGTCACAATTGTGTGTGTGTGTGTGTGTGTGTGTGTATGTGAGTCTGTCCAGAGCAGAAACAGATGTGTGATGTGTTGCTTTGTCTCGTCTTTTTAATCAATCCCTATTTTTATATCTTAACACCCAAACATTCAGGTCTGTGACCCTCTCTCTGTACCAAGGTTGAAAGATAAAAATCTAAGAATTGTATTTTTAATCCCAGCACACAAGAGTTAGGGATCCTCGGTTTCCTCCGTCGTTACGGCTAAGGTTTTTGTGTTTTGACTTCATTGACACCAAACGACCACACGAGGCAACATATTTGTTCTTTAGCTGGAATAAATTTGTTCATTTGAGCTTCTCCGTGGACTCTTGTATGGGAAGGTGATCGGTCCAAAATCATGTGTGTGCGCACTTCTCCCTTAAATTTGTTATTATTGGACCTAGAACCGTACCTAAATGCTCTGACATTTCCTGAAAGTCCTCCAGAAATACACAGTCCAGACAGTGAACATTAATCTTTAATTTGTTACAATTACAACTCTGTGCGTGCGTGTGTGTGTGTGTGTTGTATATGAAATGATGTAAGGGGTTTTCCTTTACCCTGGTTCCCTCCAGAATAAAAGCCCCTCCCCCTGTCTGCTCAGTCTACATTTATGACCGTCACTTTGACATTGAGCTAATTAATGACCGTGGCTAATGTAATCTGAAGAACGGAGTGGGCTGATGTTATTCCCATTTGTAAAAATGAGACACTCCCACTTTTTGGACTCTTCTTTTGTTCAAGTCATCCCATCTTTTTCTTTTCACTCTCTGCTTTGTTGGACATTGGAAAGCTCACCATGCAGATAGTCAGCATATAAATGGGCCTGGGTCTCAGTGTGACAGGCAGTCAGACAGATCTGAGTGTTGTAGATGTCAGGATAAAAGCAATGGGCTGTAAAGTAATGTGGAGGTTAAATACTTGACATACTACTTATTGTGTCCAATATCAAGTACTGTCACGGTGTGATTAGGTCAAAATATTGACATGCATATCTTTATGTGTACTCAAAACATGTGGCATTCGCTGAAGACGCAGAAAATTAGGGCAACTTCCTGTTTAGTTTGCCATTAAAAATGTTGTAGCAATTAAAAGCAAAATTGTCAATTAACTGCCAGAAAATTGAAAAAGTCTGACTTCCTTCTGGTTTTATTGTTTAAAATAGACAACAGATGTTGGACATTTAGGGGATGTGGGGACAGAGACCAGTTTTGCAGTGAAACAAAACCCAGACAAGATGTAAGAGACTAACCCAAAGGACATTGATGGTCACAGCGAGGTTACAGGTCACAGTAGACGAGACACCAGACAGTCGAGATGGAGTCAAGTGATGGACTGCAGTCCCTGAAGTAGGCACCCTGAGAGGAGGTAGACAGTCTCGTTCACTGTAGTTTTTAATATTTTTTATCTGTGTGTGTATTAAATGAGGTTTCACGGTTACATGACGTGTGACCAGCTGAGATCAGCTGACGATCAGCCGACTAAAGAACTGCCACCTGAACACCAACCCCTCTTAGCTTTGGCTTCTCAAATGTCTTTTTGAAAACACTGCATAGCTAAGCATCCACATTTGACCTTCAGCTGCACTGATGTCTAAACTGTTGCTGCAGCTGCTAATGTTGCTGCTGACTGTCAGATTTGCCATCGCTCTTATTTTCTAAGCCAAGAGGTTTCACTTTTAGCTAAGTGTGTGATTAAGCAAAGAAGAATACAGGATAAAAACATGACTAACGTAGAGTTAGAAATCTGTCCCTCCCTGAAAGCAGCACTCCTTTACAGACATTCTCAGTAGTTTGCGTGAACTTTGTTTTTCAGCTGTTGTTCACTGTAGTCGTTCTTGTTTTCTGCAGCATTCTTCTCATGCCTCTGACCCTGTTGATGTTGTTTTGGTTTAATTCTCACAATGATGTGAACAGTCACATGGTGAGTGTGGGGCAGGGAGGGTGGGGGGGGTAAGGCGGGGGTGGTGTGCACTAATGTGGGTGAAGATATTGATTTTTGTCGCAACAACCAAACAAGGCCAGGCCACTGTCTGCTGTGTATGTGTTTCCTCAGACTCAGGTTAAGGTCACGCAGTCACCATCTATGTGTGTGTGTTATTGATGTTCATTAGAAACCCATCAATACATCACTTTGTCCTCTGGTCTTAATGACTCTCTCCCTCTCTCCCTTTCTCTCTCTCTCTCTTTCTCTCTTTCTCTCTTTCTCTCTCTCTCTCTCGCACACACACACACAATGCTGTGTTCTGTGGACTCAGCAGTAATGGTTGAACCTGCTGACATTGACTTCTGCTGGTCTCTGATTGTATGTGTGTGTATGTGAAACCTGAAGTGACCCAAATGTACTGTATGTATTTATATTGACATGTACATACATACATATATTATGATTGGCTACAGTTCTTATACTAAAGCAACAAAGGAATGAAGATTGCAGAATGAAGAGGGCAGTATGAACCATGGTCTGCTTTATTGTACAGATTAGATATTACATGTTTTATTTTGGGGGAAACAATAACCTTCTTCATCTAATTTTGATCATGAGACATTTACTGTGTACGCAGGATTCAGGGTCAGTGTGCAGGAGGAGATTGTGAACTATAATCTCATGAGTTTTTTTCTTCTAGTGACCTGGTTTAGTTTAACCTCTAAATAGCACAGAAACACACATCCTTTGGGTTCAGTGACAATCAGCTGGATTTTGAATCCTTTTTTCACAGGAAGCTAAAAGCCTCCATTTTGAAAAATAGTTCTATACCACAAAACAATCTGTTGATGAATCAATCACATAATGTTTTATCATTTAGATTACATTTGTTGTAGTATTAGTTGAACCCCTTGGTTTGAGGCAGCTTTTTGGTTTTTATTAAAGCAGTTGATCCTGATTTTTTTTTCTTTCTTTTTTTGCAGATGAGCGAGAAGCAGTGCAGAAGAAAACCTTTACCAAGTGGGTGAACTCTCACCTGTCCAGAGTCTCTTGTCGAATCACTGACCTTTACATGGACCTGAGAGATGGACGCATGCTCATCAAACTGCTGGAAGTTCTTTCTGGAGAAAGACTGGTCAGTATTTTTACACCACACTGCAATATATAAAAACATACATGTATACATGCATATGTATTACATACATGTATCTAACAGTTAGATTCTTAGAATAGGAGATGAATATAACATTAATAGCTTCTGTATTGACTTTTGCCCAATTGAAAACCCAGGAAAAGCTGTAAGACCTTTCCTTTTTCCCAGTGCATCTGGGTGATGCTGTCTGAGGTTCATTAGCATGTTGGATGTGTTGCTATTAGCATATCCCACCAGAGCCCGACAAGGCAAACAGTGGTTGTCCGATCCGGCACTTGCACCGCATCACAGTTGTACAGTAGTTGAGAGGGGAGGTGGAGCTTTCCCACACAGCAGATTTAAAGGATGCAGGGAGGTCTCCTAACTCCTGGGTGTTGATCAAACAGGCCAAATGTATAAGTAAGTGAACAGCTCATCAAATGCTCAAACCATGACATCACCAGGGACAAATACAGATACTGTGACACCTCTAATTTCTAATGTTACCTATGTTTTCCTGAGGTTTTGAGAATATGAAAGGGCCAAAAGTAGTCATGAGAACAACGGTAATGTTTGGTTTTCATATTCACTGCTTAGTTCTACAAACATCTGCATTTACGTTGATCTTAAATAAACTGTGTTCCGGTTTGGTTACAGCCAAAACCCACCAAAGGTCGGATGCGTATCCACTGTTTGGAGAACGTCGACAAAGCTCTGCAGTTTCTGAAGGAGCAGCGTGTTCACCTGGAGAACATGGGCTCCCACGACATTGTGGATGGAAACCATCGTCTGACTTTGGGCCTCATATGGACCATAATCCTCCGCTTCCAGGTGACACCATCGACCTGTGATTTACAGAAAATGTCCAAAAATTCAGCTTGAACTTTTGACTAAGACCGAACTGACGCCAAATTTAAACCAGAAAAGTAGAAATGATTTGAATTGACCAAATGTTTTTCTTACGTTTTGCTAAGGAACACATCAGCGGAGCTCTCAGCCCCTTAATCTTCTCCTTATTTTGCTTCTGTGTCTCAGATCCAGGACATCAGTGTGGAGACAGAGGACAACAAGGAGAAGAAGTCAGCCAAAGATGCTCTGCTGCTCTGGTGTCAGATGAAAACGGCAGGGTGAGACGCCACTACTCAATACTTTAAAAGTTGTTTTCTGTCTCAGAGTAATTCTTAAAGAAAAATTAAATTAAATGTTTTAACCTCGTAAATATGATACAAATGGTGTTATATAGAGTTAACATATTTATCGTATATAAAAGCTCTAATGTCGTGACTTCAATATATTAACTTCCTGTGCAGATATCCAAATGTCAACATCCACAACTTCACCACCAGCTGGAGGGATGGCATGGCCTTCAATGCTCTCATCCATAAACACAGGTAACATAACTGGTCATTATGGTGTTCAACGATATGCTAACATGCTATTACATGTTATCAACAGTCCAGATTTAAAACATTCATTTTGAGGAGGGCGATTTATTATTGATAAAAAATAAAATAATTGTGTCTCCCTTGATTTTTCCTGTATAAACGAGTTCTTCATTTTCTCCTGGTTTCAGACCAGACCTGATTGATTTTGATAAACTGAAGAAATCCAACGCTCACTACAATCTCCAGAACGCCTTTAACCTGGCAGAGCAGCATCTGGGTCTTACCAGACTGTTGGACCCTGAGGGTGAGCGCACACACACACATGCTTGCGTACTCAAACGTGAAGCACCTGGGTCTGAAACAGAACTCACATGAGTCTCATTTACAGCAGTCAGTAATCCTGCCTGGGCTCAAATTTAAACATGTTTTTAGTCTATTGTGTATGTGAACAATTGTAAGTGCTCTGTCTATTGACTGAACAGATTTATTTTTTTTACAGCGACAAGAGCTTTGTATTTTTTGAGTCAGAGAGAGCTGTTGTTCATGCTCTTTGTCTCATATTATAGAGAGTGACCTCTTGTTTTGACTGATTTTTTTTTCTCCTAAATGTTTAGGTCTTGAAATCCTTCACTTGCCATTCATTTTGAAAGAGAGGGACACAAAACAGTAACTAGGAAGTAACTAGACAATCGGTTCCTTACTGCTACAACAGTGCTGCTATTTATGTCATTATATACAAGTCATTTACAGGTGATAAACAGGTGATGCACAGATGTAACTGCTGCTGTGTTTTTTTTTAATTTAATAATATGAAATTGTGTGTGTCTGTTTTTGTGTGTTGGTCCACAGACATCAGTGTTGATCATCCAGATGAAAAGTCCATCATCACATATGTGGTCACATATTACCACTACTTCTCCAAGATGAAGGCTCTGAAAGTGGAGGGCAAAAGAATCGGAAAGGTGACGCACACGGAAATGAACACAAAAGCAAGCCGTCAGAGACAAACGACAACAGCACTGCAGTCCTTAAAGAAGCTCTTCTGTTTGTTCCCCTCTAGGTTCTGGACCAGGCCATTGAGACAGAGAAGATGATTGAGAAGTATGAGTCTCTGGCGTCGGAGCTGCTGGAGTGGATTGAACAGACTATCATCATCCTTAACAACAGGAAGTTCGCCAACTCACTGGTTGGAGTTCAGCAGCAGCTCCAGGCGTTTAACACGTACCGCACTGTGGAGAAACCACCAAAGTCAGTACATCACTTAACAAACTCAGAGCTTAACTAACCAACTAACTGACCATCCAAATAATGCAGTGCTGCGTTAGAACGGTTTGAACTGATGACTGAAGAATTAGCTTAAAAACTGGCTCCAAAATGAAGCCCAACAAATGGGAATTAGGCCGATACGCTGTTTCAGAAGCACCTTCTTCTCCATGCTCGTAATGTCAGGCCTACAGAGTTGACAATGTGCGCCCTCTGCTGGTTGGTTTAATTTTTTATTTAAATTAAGTAACTGACACTGGACTTTTAACTTCACTACTGCAAACAATAAAACTAGAACCAGTTTAATGGGCTGGACCTACAGAAAAGAGTCTGGCTGCAAAAAACCAAACCACTTTACCAGTGTATCGTGTGAAAAACAGGTTTCATGTTTGAGACCATCAGTCGAACGTGACGGCGAGCCAGGTTTAAAACTGTATTTTTCATGTGTCAGATTCACAGAGAAAGGCAACCTGGAGGTTCTGCTCTTCACTATCCAGAGCAAAATGAGGGCAAACAACCAGAAGGTGTTCACGCCCAGAGAAGGAAAACTGATCTCAGACATCAACAAGGTAAAAACACCAACATCAAAATGACCTGATTGACTCCTTCCTAAATACACCCACATCAACATAATCAATAACCCCACTTCTGATAATAAGGTTTGTCTGTGTTTCTATACTTTCTTAATAGGCATGGGAGCGTCTGGAGAAGGCGGAGCATGAGCGTGAACTTGCCCTGAGGACAGAGTTGATTCGTCAGGAGAAGCTGGAGCAGCTCGCTCGACGCTTCGACAGAAAGGCTGCCATGAGAGAAACGTGGCTGAGTGAGAACCAGAGGCTTGTCTCCCAGGTAACCCAAACACACAAAGGCAGGTGGGACACATGTGCAGTGCAGTTGAATATTTTTCAGATATTTTATTGCTTCCTTTTTCATATTGACCCTATTCTTTCAAACACTTACATAAAAAGTTTTAAGTGAACATTAGTCTAAAACTGTTAACACAGCCATAAATGTAATCCTTGTTTGTGTCAAAACACAGACCGTGTCACTTGTTGGTTTTGGTACTGATTTCCAGTCATAACCATTGTTGTCTGCTGTTCTTACTCTTCTTTCTGCTGCACCCCCCGAAGGACAACTTTGGGTATGATCTTCAAGCCGTGGAAGCAGCAACAAAGAAACATGAGGCAATAGAAACAGACATTGCAGCCTACGAAGAGAGAGTCCAGGTCTGATTTTGAGATATATATTTTTTTAAAGTTCTTTTTGACAAGACTTCAAACCATCTTTTGAAGTTTTTGTCAACATCCTTTTTTTACTTCTTTTTTCTGCTTTTCTATTTTTTTAATCCTGCCTTTTTTCATCCTTTGTGATTTGCTGCTGCAGGCAGTGGTTTCAGTGGCAAAGGAGCTGGAGGCAGAACAGTACCATGACATCAAACGCATCACTGCCAGGAAGGAAAATGTTCTTCGTCTGTGGGATTATCTACTGGAGCTCCTGAAAGCCAGACGTCAGCGGCTGGAACAGAACCTGGGTCTTCAGAGAGTCTTCCAGGAGATGCTGTACGTCATGGACTGGATGGACGAGATGAAGGTACGGAAGAGAGTGCTGGGAGAACACTTGTAAAGTCAGAGCTCTGATCTTACTCTGCGTCCATCTGCAGATGCTGCTGCTCTCTCAGGACTATGGGAAACATCTGTTGGGTGTCGAGGACCTGCTGCAGAAACACGCTCTGGTTGAAGCCGATATTGGGATACGGGCCGATCGAGTCAAGAGCGTCAACAGTAATGCCGAGAAGTTTGCAGACTTTGGAGAGGGTGAGACTGATGTTAAGTGCTAAGATAGATGAACACATCACTGAGCGTCACTTTGAAAAAGTAAACTTTTGAACTCATTCTAAAAAACAGTCACCAGAGTACTCAGTTAAAACCAGACCAAAACCTGACACAGAAAGTAGTGACGCTAGAGTTCCAGCGGTGCCAATTACAACACCACAGTACTGACATCATATACACTGATGCTGTCTCACACACACAAACCTTAGTGATGCAGTGGATTTTACTGAGGCCACAAACAGTAGTACTGGTAATATGTACCAATGCTGCCTTTATGGTTAGAGGCTGACGTGATGACTCCAAAGTAGTAGTAGTAGTAGTAGAGAGTGAAGCGGTGACATCACAGCACCAATGCCTTACTCATAATTACAGCATTACACAGAATACTTGACCTACATATGCAATCACCAACAGAAAGAGAGGGGTGAGTATGTGGTGAGTACATTAAAGTACATGATAGAGTAGGATGTAGCTTTACTGTATTTGTAATTGTACATATTGTTTACATATACCTGAAACAGGAGCAGTGAGCTATGCTTTATTGCACTCAGGAAGTCTGAGTTTTTTTTTTGGATGTGTTCTCAACACACCACAGTCTGGCCAAGACTGGAAATCAAACCCTTAATCCTCCACTTGGCCGGATGCTTTAACCACTAGGCCCTATCTGCCAATGACTTCATACTTTTACCATTCAGTCCTAAACTTAAGGTTAAGGTAACTTTAGCAGCAGAGTAATTCCAGGATGTTTACTGATGTCACAAAGGCTGAGACAGATGCAGAAGTACCAACAATAATCATGGTATACTCACAGTACTCACACTGTAGTACCGATTATATATTACACACAGACACAGATGTTTGTAGACTGATCCGTATGGTCACTTTTCCCTCTCAGGTTACAAACCCTGCGATCCTCAGATCATCCGAGACCGCGTGGCTCACCTGGAGTTCTGTTACCAGGAACTATGTCAGCTGGCAGCGGAACGCCGCGCTCGTCTCGAGGAGTCGCGGCGCCTTTGGAAGTTCTTCTGGGAAATGGCGGAAGAGGTCAGTTCTTAGACTGTAACATCCTCAGCGTCTGTGATGTGAGCGACTGACGTTCTGACATGGCTGTGTCTGTCTACAGGAGGGCTGGATCAGGGAGAAAGAGCAGATCCTTTCCTCTGAAGATTACGGGAAGGATCTGACCGGCGCTCTGAGACTGCTGAGTCAGCACAAGGCCTTTGAGGATGAGATGACCGGTCGCGCAGCCCACTTACAGCAGACCATCAAACAGGGAGCGGACCTTGTGGCTGACAACCATTTTGGAGCTGAAAAGATCAAAGAGCGAATCCAGGACATTCAGGTACCAGAGAGTTCACGGTGGAACTGTTATTGGTTGGAAACATGTTTATTCTTGACATACATCTCAAACACAGCAAACATCACCGGGGATGGTTTTCATTGGAAATGAGACTCATAGCAGCCATTTTGTTCCAAGTGATGGATTTACAATTTGGAATTCAGCCTTTGTAACTCCACTCTCTAAGCTGTAGGGGGCACTCCTATGCATTTTAGCAGTATTTTACAGTTTTTTTAAGACACCTTGTACTGCTGCTACGTCCTGCAGGAACAGTGGGCAGCCCTGGAGCGTCTCTCTGCCGTCCGTAAAGCTCGTCTGCAGGAAGCCTGTAACCAGCATCAGTTCCAGGTGAATCCCCTCGGGCCTTTTTGCAGATTATTCTTACATTTGTTTCAGAAGCGCTGAAAACTCCTCTTCATTTCATAGGCCGATGCCAACGACATCGACACATGGATGCTGGATGTTCTCCGAATTGTCTCCAGCGTGGACGTGGGTCACGATGAATTCTCAGCTCAGACACTGGTGAAGAAACACAAAGATGTGGCCGAGGAGATCGACAGCTACAGACCT